AAGGAACAAACAGTTCGATATGGTGAAATATTGAATGAAAAGGGTGAACTTAAATCTATACAAAAACTAGAGGAACAAGGTATAAAGATGAATTGGTTTTCATATGCGCAAATACGTTCAAGGTATGGTAAAGACTCTAAAACAGAAGGTTTCTATAATAAACTGATTTAGATAAGATTTTAACAGGTACTGATGAAACGGTGATTAAAAAATTGTATAATATTTATTAGAAATTAAACTAGAAGAACAAGAAATTAAAGAAACTATGATTGCTTGGGGGAAGAATTTTGGATATGGGATTGATCTAGAGAAATGGCAAAAATTGTGGTCTCAAAATTATAAAATGGCAATGTCAACAGCATATAAAGAAAATTTGTATAAGATGTTTTACAGGTGGCATTTTCCCCGACAAGAATAGCAAGAATGCTCAAGAGTAAATCTGAAAAATGTTGGAAATGTCATCAGACACCTGGCTCATATTACCATATGTGGTGGACTTGTGCGGATGCTAAAAAATACTGGACTAAAATCCACACGTGGTTGGAAAAAATGACAAAAAAATATATAGATTTGAAACCAGAGATATTTTTATTGGGAATTTTACCTGAAATATACAGTAAAGACCTGAAATACCTGATTGTAAATGTATTAACAGCGGCTAGGATTGTATTTGCTAAAAACTTGAAAAATGAGAAAACACCATCATAGGAGGAAATCATTAAGAAATATTGGAATGTGCTGAAATGAGCAGATTGACATTTGAAATTAGAGAACAGGATGATAAACAATTTTATAAAGTTTGGGATCTATTCTATCAATGGTTAGACAATAAAGTATAGCAACGAAATATGTAGACTTTTAAAAATACTAAATATATAAAGATGTATTCTTTCCTTATTATATCTACAAAATGATTTTAGGATAGATTTGGGATGATAATATGAATTGTCACAAAACAAATTAAGTAAAATATGATTATTTCCTAAAGCATGAATGAATAAAAGTATAGTTGAATGATTGATTAATAATTATACCAATGTATTTAATATTGGATTGAAAATACGAGATCATATACAATATAATTGTAATTGAAGACTACGAAATGGAAGCACAAAACAATTTGCAAACCAACCGGCACGTTGTATGTACATATATGGAAGATGGCCTCATGTTTTTATGTTTTGTTTATGTTTGTTTTAAAAACCAATAAATTTTTTTTTAAAAAAATCAAGTCCTGCCAGAAGAAAGATTGAGAATAATATAGAATTGATAAATTATTTTCTCTGAAAGCTAGATTGTTTTACACTCCACATGTTCCCCCAGAGTCTATACTGGAGAGACATTTTATCCATGCTAAAAACAAATGACAGGAGATAGTATAGTGAAAAATCTTTAGATAAGACTTCTTTTCTTTCTTCAGCTTTACACAAACTTTGGGCTCATGTCTTCGTTTCTTGCTCCCTATGCCTTGACGGGGTGGGGAACCTTAGCAGCTCATGCATTCAAAATATCTCTAGTGACATTTGTGAAACCCTCAAGATGGACTATTGTTACTAGGCTACTCACTATCTAAAAACAAGATTGCTTGTTTGAAGACATTCAGTTTAGGAGTAGACTGATTCTTGGGACTCCATGTATATTAGCTCCCAGATCTTCTACCAGCTGCTCTGCGTCCACAGCTCAGCAGGGAAAACATAGGCAGGAGTCACCAGAGAAAATAAATGAATAATTCATGATACAAGAGAGAGGATTGAATTGTTTTATTTAACTCAAAACGCTAGCTTGTGCCTCTCTCGTTCTTCTGTTGGCCACAACAGTAGTACATTTACTCCACCTCTACCATTTTTTTTTAAAGCTGCATAGCCAAAAATGTGTTCAATATAGTAACCGGAGCCTGACTCATCTACCATCTGTCACGTGCCGAGGTGTTGCTTTCACCATTTGGTGGATGTGTGCCTTGCCATGTAACTAAGGCACAGAAAATGGGAAGAGGTTATAAAAATAGGTCTAGAAAGACTGTAGACTGAAATATATGAAGAGTTGCAATCAACAAACTGCAACAAACTTAAGCAGCTTCTTTGTCTAACAATGGGCCCTTGAAAATATTCTGAGAGGCTCTGCTTTAATTCTTTCTTCCAAGGGACAATAACTGATTAAAATAGCATTTGATTCTTGTTGTTGCAAAAATAAATTCTGGTATGGATAAGATTCTGGTGTGAATGCAGTGTTTACCTCTAAGACAGAGCATCTGTTTACAATTTGGGGCAATTTTTTTAATTTTTTTTTATTAATTACATTTCTTATCTGGGTATTCAAATTGCTTAACAATAAATATTGTGTTCTTAATCTCCACCCCTTTTTTCCAACCACTGATAAAATAGATTCCATGTATTTGATAATATTCTGTATCTTCTTTCTGTTTCGTTTTTAATGCCAGTCTGTCCATTTCTGCATATTCTAGTATCTTAATTTTTTCTTTACCTCGTGATGTTTCTTCTTTTTTCCAGCATTGAGCAAATACAATCCTTGCTGCTGTCAAGACATGCAATATTGAATACATACTCTTCTTATCAAGTTTAGCTGATATTATACCTCGTAAAAATAGTTCAGGTTTAAAATCTACATGCTTTCCAATCATCTTTTCTAATCATTTATGTATTTTTTTCCCAAAATTTTCTTGCTTTATCACGTCCATCACATATGATAGCATGTGCCCATTTTTTATTACATTTCCAACTTTTGCTAGACATTTGATGTCATTTTTAAATCGGTAACCTTCCCATCTACATTTGCTAATTGCTAATTTCTTTGTGAAGGACAAAACCCCAAAGGCTTGAAATAAACAAGTTTTTTCTGCACACCCTTATCAGTTAAGATACAATGTGCTAATGGGAGGCCTCAGATCAGATAGCCAGTTAAGCCAGTTCTAGCAACCCTCTTTCAAATGTTATTTAAAACTGTCCAACTCTCTCTCTCTCTCTCTCTCTCTCTCTCTCTCTCTCTCTATATATATATATATATATATATATATATATATATATTCGCAGTAACAGAAGACAAATTCCTTTTTCCCACAAAAGTGTTTTGTATTTCATTTGGCTGCCATTTTTTTCCTAGTCCTTTTCTCATACAGAGAGGCCCAGATGTATTATACAAGATAATCTGTTTCTATATTGAATGATAGGTACTAAAGTCAATGGGAGATGAATCTGCTTTTTCCCCTATGTATGTGGATAGTTCACCTAAATATATACTAAAAATGATGTTAATGACTTTAATAGCTTTATAGATAGATATGAATTGTCATATGTGAGACAGAGGACTCTAGATCTTCCATGGCTCCCATCGACATGCAGCCTTACATGGTGTTTATTAGCTCTCAGGGTAAAATTACAATCTATTCCTGTGTTAGAGAAAAAGTAATTTCTTTATCTCCACAAGGAAGGAAAATAAAAAGGATCACCTTCACACAAAATAAATGTGAATGGACAATAGCAATAGCACTTCTGAGTTATATACTATTTCACAGTGTTTTACAGACATCTCTATGCAGTTTAGAGTCAACAAATTGCCCCCAACAATCTGGGTCCTCATTCTACCAACCTTGGAAGGATGGAAAGCTGAATCAACCGTGAGCCGGTAAGGATCAAATCCCTGGCAATCAGCAGAATTAGTGTGCAATAGTGCATTCTAACCACCACACCGCCATGGCTCTAAGTGGATTCCCTTGATGATCTCTGGGAGGATAGGATAGGATGCCAGACCAGCAGGTCCCCAGAAAAAGGAGATCACCTCACACTGCTCATTTTTCACACAGTAAGAAAAATGGCATTGTTTGCTGTCCCCTTCTTTTCTTCCTTACCGATGATACAAAAGAATGATTCCTAATTTTGGAGTACAAGGAACAGCATGGTGGCTGGCAAAATAGTCTCTAGATTAGAGAACTTACCTTGTACAGAATAGAGTACACGTGATACTCTAGGGGGTAGAATTGGACATAGAGTAGAGGAATAAAATTGGACTATGGTTGCCCTTGTGGCAAAGGGAATGAGAAAGAAAGATCTAAGAAATCCTACTTGGGTGTATGGATGAGTTTCTCATAAGGGAAAAGTGACAACTTTAAAGGATGGTTTGCAAGCACTAGAAAAGTCTAATGATTGGTGATGGTTTAAACTAATTGTAACTATGTTTTTTCATCTCATGTCTTTAACATATTTCTATTACTCCAGAACCGTAAAGCCTACAAACTTGAAAATTTGGCAATGTTCCTCTTGACTTCTAGGTGCTCACTAAGAAAGGATTTTTCGAAATGACCAACAGAGCATTACTATTTCCTATATTATTATTAACAAGTTCTGATGCCAAGGTATTCTACTCCCCTTCCCCACCTGAAATCTATTCCAAATGAAAAACACAAGCAAAGGAGAGGAGTTTCAGTTTCAGAGCAGCAACTAGTTTTAGCACAGAACTGTTGAGCAAAGTCACGCCCAGGCTCCTTGCTGTCTTCTTCTTGCTCACACAGCAAATACTGTTTCAGTTTCCATGTTTCCAAACAGCCCTCAACTCACTCACACACTGACCAGTGATGGGATTCAAATATTTTTACTACCGGTTCTGTGGGTGTGGCTTGGTGGGTGTGGCAGGGGAAGGATACTGTAAAATCTCCAGTAAGACGTGGTATTTACCAGTTTTCCAAACTACTCAAAATTTCCAGAACTGGTCAGAACCTGCTGAATACCACCTCTGACACTGACAGGATGCTAGCCAGATGAATACCAACGGATGCTGGTAGGCAGAGGCACATTTCCCGCCCCCGCCCCTATTTTCCTCCCCCAAAACTAAGCCCAATCACATAGTTTTGTAGCAAAGCACGGGTATAGAGCTAGTATTCTTATATAACAATTCTGTTGTGATTGGGTTGATCATTTTCCTCCAAAATGTATACAATTGTGTAGTGGAAAAATGTAATTCAATTTTTGTTGTTGTGAACTATCAGATTTATTATAACTGAGCTACATCTTTAGCTGGAATAGTGATATTTAAAAGAATTGGAAACTACATTCCTCCTCCTCCCCCCATGTTTCCTGCGATCCTCCAATCAAACGCAGCACCTGGAACCTGCATTGGCAAAACAATTTAGAAAACAGTCCAGAATGTTAGTTAGGAATACTTGGGTTTCATTTTAAACTCATTTCAGGGAAGTTATATTACAAACATAATGCATAATAGATCAATCCTATGTTAGACAGAAATATTGAAAATGGATGTTCAAATTTCTTCTGTCTCCTTAAGTTTACACAATGTGGAGTTATTTCTAAAAAATAATATTCAACAGACATGTCAAACATGTTGAGGGGAAAATATTACTGTGCTTAATTAATGCATTTATTTTCAGATTAGCACCACATAAACTATAATACCATTGTGTAGTCTCTGCCCATCTGTCCTCTACTTGCAGCCTTACTTGCTCAGGGTTGGGATTTACTTTTAGGATAAAGTGAAGTTCCTTGACTTTTAGGTTTAATTCCCAACAACTTTGGACACCTTGAAAAGGCTGAGATGCAACTGAAGGCCACACATTCCCGTTACTTGTGCTATGCTTTTCAAGTCAAACAAGAAAGTCTGCTTTTAAAAATATTACTTCAGCCCACAGATTATATGTCACAGAGAACATTCTCTAATCACAGAAAAGTGGCAAATAACAGTTTAACATGGATATTAGTTCACAACATAACTGAAAACCAATTCCATGTCAAACTGTTTTTGCTACAATTCTCCTAATATGCCACATAGTTTTGAAACATATAATACATTAATTGGGTAAACTGTCTCATGCCTATGACAATTAATGTCATGAGATGTAAACTATTTGTGAGCCAATAAGTCTTAAACACTGAAAAAAATGTTTGGAGCAGCTCAAACTCTAGTTTTCATTATAATTTATGAAATGCACATTCTTTTGCGTCTGTACTATTTACCAAACAAAAACAGCTTTAGGGAACTTTAGAAAACTTGCAGAAAAAAGAAATTTGAACATGGGGAGTATTTTTTATACAATTTTTATATTGTACATCAGTAGAAATTGGGAACTGTACCCAATCTGGAAATCGCTGAAAATGTCAAATGAGCTTTATCAATAGTAAAATGACAATTCAGAAATACAAAACATTGTTTCCCATTGATCTTCTCTGGTAATAACTATTATGATGTGTTACATTCAACTGCTGCATTGAAGGAATCTGTAGGAATCTCTTTGGGATAATATGAAGACTGACACATTTTATATAAGTGAGTGGTTTTAGTCTTGGTCCATTTTTCCCATAATAATGATAATAACTACTCTATATTTTGAGAGAAATGGAAAAACATCTATAATGATTGTTCATTCTTAATCGATCAAGTCTGCCATATTTCAACATATAGGATTTCTTTTACAATTTGGGATTTCTGAAAAAGGACACTATTATTATTATTTCATTGTTCATGAAATGTCACAGAAGAGAATCTAAAGTAATCCTGAAGAACATCCAAAGATAGCAAATGTCATGGAAGTGCATCTAAAGAAGCCCTGAACAATTACAGAAGTGAGAAAGAAGTGATTCACCAATTCCAATTTTCCATGTTTTTTTTTTTTTTTTTGGGGGGGGGGTGTTTATGAAAGCATCATAGAGTAAGAAACTGATAGCATTTCCTATGTACTGGAGCAGTTACGATGGATGGAATTAATTTTCTATTGATTTTAGCTAGCACAATGGGCAAAATATGTTCAGTTGCACAGAATGATTCCACTTTCCTATTACTTTCCAAACAAAAATGAAAGTTTAGAATGCTCCATTCTGCATAAGAAGACTCCACCTGGTTGTAGAAGTTCAAAGATTAAAGTCACAGTTTTAATTGATACTGTTATACTTACTGGTCTACAAAGGAGGATACCTTGAGATGACAGAAGGCACATCTGGAATGGAGCCATTTCATTACATTGGAGCAGGATTTTATAAGGTAACAATACTAAGTATGTCCCCCAAACCAAGTGTCACCTCGTAAAGCATTCCCATGCCTGTTATAGAGTTGCCATAAACAAGGGGGTGGGGAAGGAAATCTGAAGGAGCAGTGTGGCAGTTTAAAACCAGAAGTATGTTCCAACACTTATCTTACAAAGATTGTAGCTAAGCTACCAGATCTTCTGCCCACGAAAATCCTTAATTGGAGAAACGTGATTGATGATACCAAGCCCATGAACGTGCTTCATTGGAGAATCTGATTTATGACACAGGAGAGGGGAAACAGGATCACAGGTGACTGTAAATTACATATGCCAGAGTTAGCTTCATAGAGGTTAATTCTAGACATGTTGCTTCTAATAAATCTTTTGGTTTCTTTTGAAGCTTGGCTCGAGGCTCATAATTTAATTAGGGCAATCACCAGAATCCTGACACTAAGTTTCTTGCTTAAATAATTATTTACAAGATATAGTTACCCACCAACCCATGCCAATTCTGTGACAGCCACTCACTGTGTTTAACTGCTATAGGGAAATATTTATATAAGGGCTAGGACTGAAATACTACTCAAGGAAAACTTTACAATACCACCCCAAAATCACAAAAGTTGGAGGGGTTTGATAAATTCATTCACTATGTACTTAGAAACTAAACTTGCCCCTCCTATCTCCTTATAGACTGCTTTCACTGCAAACTGGACTGGAAAAAGATTACTCTAAAAATGAGATTATAAGTATTTTTGGAAGGAAGAATGTTCCATTGAATCCATTCAAATGGACTACCTACTTAGGTAAGTACTACTTGACGTATGACAATTGGGACCAGAATTTCCACCACTAAGCAAAGTGATTGTTAAATGAATCGTGTCCAATTTATCACCCTTTTGTCACAGTTGTTAAGTGAATCATTAAAGTTGTTTCATAAATCATGTGGTCATTAAATAAATCCAGCTCTCCCCATTAATTTTGCTTGTTAGAAGCCAGCTGGGAAGGTTGCAAATATAAACCATGATTCCAGGATGCTGCAACCACCATAACGACCTGCTGGTTTGCAAGAGCTCAAATTTTCATTGCATGACAGTAAGGATGCTGCGATGGTCATAAGCAGGGGTGGGCTTCAAATAATTTAACAACTGCTTCTCTGCCCGGTTGCTGGGTGGGCATGACCTAGTCGGCCTCATGCACCACCCTGGGATCAAAAACGGGCCAGGGAGGGTGCGCTGCACCTCTCTGGGCTCTGGAGGCTCTCTGGAGGCTGGAAATGGCCTGTTTCCGGCCTTCCAGAACTTCCAGGAGGCCTGTTTTATGCCCTCACTGAACTTCCACACGGGCCCTGCACTTGCCTGTGATCCAAAACGGGCCTCATGGGGACTCCTGGGAGGAGTGGGGTGGGCGGAGCCAGCCAGTCGTCGGAACTATCAGTTTGCAGAACCAGATGTAAAATTAACATCCTGTTTGGCTGAACCAGCACAAACCGGCTGAAGCCCACCCCTGGTCGTAACTGCAAAGATCAGTCGTAAGTCATATTTTTCAGTACTATTGTAATGTTGAATAGTTGCTAAACAAATGGTTGTAAGTCAAGGACTACCTATATAAAGACAATTTAGGGGTGCAAAATTCAAGTCCATTTTTGCCTGTTTTTGTTGTTTGTACAGAAAGGACTAGACATATGCATTCATACATACATGCATACACAAACTCACTTTATGTGAAAGACAGCAGCCTCCATCTGCTCACAGTTTTAATAACTGTCAGCTTTATTCATGTGACAAGTTATTTTCACACCTCCATTCTTGCCCCCCAGTTTCTGCTGAGATGTGGGAAGACAATACTGATTTTTGAAGGCACACAGATTGCTTTTCTGTATCCCTTCACATCTTTACGCCACTGACAAAACTTTGAGAGAGTTCACATTTGACTCAATCTCCTTCAGATGAGCCCAGATTCAATTTGGATAGGTTTCAAACTTTTCCAAATGAACAAAGTTTAATTTTCTCATTTGGCTAGATTGATACACATTACTTATAATTGGATTCCTTCCCATCCTATGTTTTGTATCTGGCTCCACCCCAGGCGATATTATGCATTCAGCTGCTTTAGTTAAAACACGAAGTAGATATCATAACCTTTCAATTTGCTCATATCCAATCTACAATTTAACAGGGATCACTGAGCTTGTCAGTATGTTTTAAAGTCATTTCAAAGAATTAATCAAGTAAATTTACAGTGAAAACAAGGTTACAATCATTCTTCATACAGTTTTTTTATATTAAAAAAACCCAGAAAAGATGGAAAGATCTGCCTCCCTGCATAATCCCAGGACTGGTTAAAATATTTTTTCTGCCTCCTCCTTCTCTAGTGCCTCATTATTTGCTACCAAACCAATGTCAATTCTCAGCAACAAAGATGACTTCTCCAGAATTATCTATTCTGAGCCTGGCTGTTCAGATCTTCAACGATACACTATCACCATTTTTGGATGCATTTACCTTACTGCTGATGGTTTTTTCCTTCTTTCTCTTTCCATCTTTCTCTGTGGTATAGACCCCTGAAGAGAGCAGTGTCTAATAATGCATACAAAATATAATAATTTGAGCCTCGTGTTTTATCTCTCACATGAGAACACTGGACTGATTTATTCTAAGATCCATTTAATTTGTTTTCTTGGCTATCCTATGAGATTTCTCTAATATAAAAATGGGCATATTGAATAGATGACAGTACTCTATTGAATAGCTTCAATTATTTCTGTAAAGCCAAAGAAGAAGTGAGACACCTCCTTTATAAGTAGTGTGGAAGCAATTCTCTAGACTGATTTACCATAAATCTTGACATGGTACTTTCTACTCCAGTAAGAGCCTATATTAAATTATACCACTTTGGCCTACGTTAAATTAATCCCATTGGCTATCTGTTGGTCTACACAGTTTCTGAGCTAACTGTTAACCACTGCTAATGACCAACCCACAGAGTACTAATGACCAGATGACTGCAAAGAATATAAATCCTGCCATTCCCTACCAGTTAGAATTGAAAAAGCTTCTTGGATGAGAAGTGAAATGTTTTCAAAGAAAAAAACAACAACCAAGAAACCAAGAAAGTCCAAAGAAGAAAAGCATCTCTGCTTTCAAACCATGACCTGGATGATTGAAAATCACGGTTATTTTGTAGGATATACGGAGAATGACATCCATAGTGCTTATTTTCTTATTCCTATTTATCCACTATCTTATTTGTATCATTAAAGTCAGGACACCTCTTATTTATTTATTTTTCATGACACTGTCATGCTCCTGGGTGGGAAACTAAATGTACTACTGGAAGAATCTTTTGAAGTTCAGAATTAATTCTAAGAGCTTGGGAAATTGATTTTCAGGACAGAATGTCAAAGCTTTTAAGCATTAGGAAAGCACGTATTAATCTCCAAAGTGACAAAATCCACCTCACCTTATATTATCAAGCAAATAGCTCTAAATAAGAATGCCAAGTTTTTTTAAAAAAAATTCTTCTGAAGTACAGAACTTTACCAGTATGAAACCAGTGTTTACTTTACACAGGAATATGGTTGTTCTGCATTTAATTCTTGAAGTCAGGTGATGCTTTTTGACTCAGGATTTTGAATTACTTTTTAAACATAGTCCTTGGAATCTTGGAAATATTTCCAATGCCCCTCCTAATATTTCATCTGCCTTGCTTTCTTGAGTTCCAAGAGCATCCAGCTATAGGTGGCTTTATAAAGTTGAAAGAAATATCAACCAGAGGAGCACATAAGATGGGCAAGCACTTTGGGAGATGCATCCTCTAATAGTTAGGCACTCTGCCATGTAAGAGTTTAGCAATCCAGCAGCTTGAAAGGTATCTAAAACTAAACTGACAATCGGTGTCATTCACAGTGCAGAAGTATTTTATGGTCACAGAAAGGCTTGTGCATCACTGCTTCTGCTGCTGCATTCCAGACCAGCTATAGCTTCTGAGGGCTACAAGGACAGCAATAAGGGTTTTTGCTAAGGTTGAGTCTAAGTCTATTCCTCTTCATTCAGTGTCCAACAACCTCCAGGAACTAGGAGAAGAACTTGGCTGCATTAGTTGGTCAGCTAGGAGCCAGGATGTACAGTACAACACAGTATCATCCACAAGAACTTTGAATTTGGGCCATAAGTACCTTTTGGGGGAGGTCTGTTGTAACTTCAAATGGTTGCTAAGTTGCTAAGGTTGTAAGTCGAGGACTACCTGTACCGATATCTTTCTTTTTAGGAATGTGCAAAACATTCCATGAACAGACTACTCCCATACCTGGAATCCCCAAAGAACCCAGAATAAGGGTTGGAGGGTCCTTGGAGGTCTTCTAACCCAACTGCCTGCTCAAGCACAAGACCCCATATCATTCCAGACTAATAGTTGTCCAATTTCTTCTTGAAAGCCAAGTTCAGGCAGCCTATATTCAGACCAATGCTAACACATATGATCCGAGCACAGGCTCGAATACATGCATTCCAGGGACACATTTCCCAAGGATAGAGACAGCAGTACAATGCCATCTGGCATGATTGCAAGAAGGGAAAGGGGGAATCAGAACACCGGAGGGGAAAGGAACTGCACCAGATGAGTTAGATCATTGGACTTGAATTTAAGCCCAACGGAAGAGAAGGAAGAATTGAGAGATTATTAAATTTAGTTAATAATTAAATGGATGGCACTAAAATGATCGTCTTGGTTACTCCCGCAAGCAGAGGGAGTGCCAACTACACTATAGCAGATGGCCTTTCACTTGTTCGGCAAAGAGCATCTTCAAAAAGGCTTCTCCTGTAGATCCTTAATAGCTTCGTAACAAGAAACAACTTTCACCACCTGGTGCAAAAATGTAAACGCGAAAGGACTTGTGGATAGTTTGGAAGCCTGGATTAAACCTGTAGTATTTCCTGAACGAAGAGACATGCAGAAACCCTTGCCTGTTCCTTCCTTATCAGTAGCAGTGGCACACTATCTCCTTCTAAGCCATGGGGGAGAAGTGTGGGACTTCGCACAGTGCCCGTCAAAGAATGGAGAAGTAAATGGGAGGATGTGACAATTAAAACTGGAACAATGCCTCCAATGAACAACTTGCCTCCAGAAGTTGTTGAATGCTCCAACACTGGAAGTTTTTGAGAAGAGATTGGACAATCATTTGTCTGAAATGGTATAGGGTTTCCTGCCTGAGCAAGGGGTTGGACCAGACTATTTACAAAGTCTGCACTACTATTACTATTAATCTTCTCATCACTCCTTATCACCCATCCCCTCCCACTTGTGACTGTATGACTGCAACTTTGTCGCTTGTATCCTTACGATTTATATTGACTGTTTCCTAGTATGATTTGATTGCTTATTGTACCCTATGATTATTAGTAAGTGTTGTACTTTATGAGTCCTGACGAATGTATCTTTTCTTTTATGAATACTGAGAACATTTGCACCAAGACAAATTCCTTGTGTGTCCAATCACACTTGTCCAAAAAAAATAATTCTATTCTATTCTATTCTGTTCCATTCCATTCTATTCTATAAGACCTTAGAGACTTAGAATAACTTTGTCACTTTAAATGGTACATTAATTGGCATACATTAAAAAGAATTGTTGCATACATCTCTCAAAGGGTCACCCCCCTCCAATATACACTGCATAAACATGACTAAAGGAGGACCCAGATTGTTGGAGGCAATATGCCGACTAAGGGCCACCTTAACAGCATGATGCGCCCTGGGCAAAGCAGTGTACTGGGGCCCCTGTGACAACTACTCACAAGAATAAAAATATAAATGGTCAGTAAAATTAAACACATATATGCATAATATAGTTATATGATACAAGGTGCACTGAAGGGTTAACATACACAGGTTAGTATGGGGCCCCTATGCTGGTGGGTCCCATGGGCAAGTGCCCATCAGGCCCATGAATTAAGACAGCCCTCTGCTGACTCTGTAAACCACTTAAGAGAGGGATATAAAGCACTATGAAGCGGTATATAAGTCTAAGTGCTATTGCTAAATAAATTAAATAAATGCTATATATAGCATCATGGGTCCTTTCCAACGCTGTTATTCTATTTTAGTCTAATGAAAAAGGCGAATTTCCTTAGTGTAGCAACCGAGCTACTAGAGACAACCGCTGTCCTTTTGTTTTTCTCCATCCGCCTCACCGGAGGGATTTTGCTCTCTCTGATGCAGCAATACACGTTACGCCTTCCTCCCGCTTGACTGTTGTATCTCCTCCTCCCCACCCTTCCCCTTTCAAAATAAAAGCCGCCGAGCGAAATGCACTTTTTGCCTAAGTTTCCTCCCCTGGCGAAGAAGCGCCTCTAAAAAGGGGAGCGAACGGCCTCCGCCCCCTTTCACAAGTTTTATAACTCGCCGGGTTTCCGTGTCCTGTGACTCCAGTCAGGTGGTTCCCGCCTTCTTTTTTGTTTTTTTGTTTTTTGTTTTCCCCTCTTCCCTCCGTGCCTTACCGGCAGTCGGGAACGTCTCCCTTCCCGCCAAAGAACCGGCGTTTGGAGAAAGAAAGCGTCCGGAGTCGGTGGAAGGGAGCGCTCCCCTTTTTCCTTTCTTGCTCCAAGCCGGTGCTGGGTTTTCGCAAAAACGCGGGTCGAGGAGGGTGGAAGCCGGCTAAGTTGGTGAAGCCGGAATGGCTGGAGCAGAGAGAGGCGGAGGCGGCGTCGGAGTGCCTGAGAACCGGGAACATCTCTTTAAGGTTTTAGTCATCGGGGAGCTGGGTGTCGGCAAAACAAGTATCATCAAGCGCTACGTCCACCAGCTCTTCTCTCAGCACTACCGGGCTACCATCGGGGTGGATTTCGCTCTCAAAGTCCTCAACTGGGACACCAGGACTCTAGTTAGGTTGCAGCTCTGGGACATCGCAGGTGAGAGCGGGGGGGAGGGCACGAGAAATGGGGCTTCTGGAAAATGGACAATCCGGCCAAGACTGGATTTCTTCAGCTGGAGGGGGAAAGTCCCTTTTAGCCCTTTGCATATCCTGAGACCTTGTGAGCAAGTTGCAACTGGCTTCTTTCCATAAGATAAAGACCGCGGGGCCTTGGGTGTCCCTGAAACGAATTGGGGAGGCTTCGATTTCAGAGTCCCTTACTCAATTTCTAAAATCCATCTCTTTTGCTCCTTTCTATATAGCTCGACAAATATATATATATGAGAATAAACTCTGCTGGGTTGAATTGTACTATTCTGAACTCCTGGGAGGAGGTGGGGGGAATTTTGTTAAGGATTCTGGGAGTATATTTGCTCTAACTTGGAAGAATCTTATTTGTTTTGGATATACTAGTAGCTTTGAATCCTGTGTAGATTTACACTGGAATACATGGGAGTTTTCTTCTAGTTTATCCACTTACTTTCTATGAAGAAGGTTCAGGAAAAATGCCAGAGGTTAATAAACTTTTACATAAATTTTAAAGATGGGCAAATACATATGGTTTTTTTTTACATTTCCAGCTTTAAATAACCCTCCCCTCCTTCAAGTGTTTTCTGAGCGGCTGTTTGATAGTAGCATTTCAAAAGATCAAAACTTTTTTTTTTCATGCTGATGATGGGAAAGCTTTATCTGTTTGATGGTGACAGCTAGGGCAACAACTTTGGTGTTGTGTTTATAATTTTCCAGATAGTCTGGAGAAGAATTGGAAGAGATTTCTTTGTGTGTTTTACTGGTGGTCATTTTGAAAATAGTGAACATCTGAAAAGCAATTGTGAGATTTATGACATTTGCTCCTCTGGTCAGTAAATAGTGGGACTTTTTTTCAGGTTGCTTTTTTTTCATCAAGTTCTGGAAGTGCTACATTGCAGAGAACTTTAGTATGAAATTTTATATTACTCTGTTTGGTGTGGTCTTATGGATAAGTCAAATTAATTTTTGATATGTATCAAATTCTGCCTTTAAACCATTTTAGAGAGCTAACTGCTGTATATTCTAGACTCTAACCTCGCTCCTAAAACTGGGTGTAAGTAACTGGGTAATTGTTTGGGGCCTGTGCTTAAGGGACAATGAGGGGATTGCAGCTGGATATTAAGAGTTGATAATTTTTAGAGTAATGTATTTTATAAAAGGCATATGTTTTTGTCAACTACAAATCACTTCATATAAGTGCGGGGCTAAAGCAGCATTTCCCAATCTTGACCATTTAAGAGGTGAGGAATTCAACTCCTAGAATTCCCTAGCCAGCATGCAACAAACATTTTTGCAGCCTTTTACAAAGCATCCTTTCAATTGAGGTTTTAATTTTTGAAGCTTAAAAATCTATTTAATAAAACTATTAGGTAATAATGTATCCCAATGGTAGGAAATACACTTTTGAGGAAAATATGGAAAATAATGCTATATCCTTTTACATCTATGAAATCCTTGTTCAAAGATGTGTTTGCATATTATGAGTCTTGCTCTGGAAAATGTGTTATTCTTTGCAGAACGCTTGCAAAATCATCAGAGTTTGCAAGCAATATAGAAAAATTATTTCCCCATGATCCAGCTAGGCTCCTTCTACTTTACTCATATTTCAGTTTCAAGGGAATTAGAATGCTGACAGTTCCCACATGAATATATTTAACAGTTTAATTATTGCTTTAATTTATCTGAATAACAATTTTGTGTGTGTGTGTATGTAATATATGAGAAAGACAGTTGATATAGCACAGGACTTACAGATGGCATTTTGTTGGCAGTATTGAATGTTCTCATGAGCCAAATGTAGTTCTCCACAAATTGTAATTTTTTGTAAAAGGGTGTGTGACTCCGGTTGCAACATGTGATAGTCATTCTGCACAACTGCTCAGTCTTCTGCCTTTGTACCCATATATTGCAATACTTGAGATACAAAGATACAAATACTTGAGATACGTTTTCAGTTAGTACAATCTTTGAGGCACATAGAAGAATATGGTTAAGTATTGGAGAATAAGTTTTGTTTAAAGCTGATTTCTAAAACATTAAAAATAAAATGATTTTCCAGTGAAAGAAGCTGACTAAACTAGTTCAGACTATAATTCCCATTATAGAAATCAAGTAACATGAGATTGTTAATTTTTAATCTTCTTTAATCCATATCAGGTCAATACATTTATTAAATCAATTCAGCATAATTAGCATGTAAGCCTTCTAGGTTCAACAAGAAGATACTAAATAAAACTGAAAAGTACTAGAAAAAAAATTCACTTCATGTTCTACATGTAATTATAGTCTGCTTTATTTACAACCTAAAAATCTTTTGAACTTAAAATTCTGCACTAATGAGAAATCTTTTTTATTGTAGTTAATTTTAGGACATCACAAAAGGCCATATGAATTTTCTGTATTTTTCTTTAGATAAAGTGTTAAAAATAGGATGATACATTACAAGGGAGAAATATTTTAGCATGAAGTCTGCAGCCCAAAGACTGCCTTAAAGTCAATGCTACGGGTAGTCCTTATTTAATGATCATCCAATGACCAAAATTATGAAGATGCTGAACAAAGGAATTTCCAAACCCATGTCCAAAGATAAGGCCGTTGCAGCACACCATGATCATGTGATTGGAATCTGGGCACCTGGGAACCCATTCACAATTATGGCTGAATTGCCAAGTGCCAAGTGATCATGTGATTGCCGTTGGCAATCTCTTCCTGCCAGCTTCCCCAGAAAGTCAATGGAGAAGCTGTCATGGAAGATTGCAAGCCAATGCCACCTACTGAGGAGGAGTCTCCCCTTCTTAACTGAAAAGGTCTGTCCTCAAATCCAAGCAAGATTTTTCAGCCACACAAGATTTGCAACCCCAGAGCAGAGAGGCAGTGTGGTAAGGTAAGAAGCTAAGTAAGGTAAGAGGACAGGGTGCCTTAAAGCAAGGGAACCCCAGGCAAACCCATGTAAGTGTTTCCCTGCTTAGGGGCTGAAAATCGTGCTTGGGTTTTGTCAAGGAGGATTTTCAGATTCGGAGTGAAGTGGCAGCATAGCAAGTAATGTGGGGTGCCTTGCGGCAATGAAGACCCAACACAGAGCCAATGCAGGTATCTCTTTTTCAGAGGTTAACATCCTACTTGGAATCCAGTAGAGAGGATTTTCAGCTCCTGAGTGGAGGGACATTTAAGTACAGCCTTTGCTGGGGCTATTCTAATCCCTTAAGGCACCCAACGTTGCTTTACAAGCACAACTAGGAGTGTTGAGTGTGGTTATTAAGTCAAATGGTCACATGGCATCTTGCTCAATGGCCACTTTGCTCCATGACTGAGGTTCAGGCCCCAGTTATGGTTCTTAAGGAGGAACTACCTATCGCACTGTTAAAATGAGGTTACGCTTAACCTTCAGAGTCGGAATGATTTCCTCTAGGATAGAAATCACATTAGTTTTTCATTGACATGCTGGGATAATTTCATGGCAAAGAAAAGGATGTGATAGCATCCCCCACCTATTCGTGAGTGATACTTCCTATTTATAAATGTACAGTGGGGGTAGAGATGTGGATTGCACAATTTTTCCTGGAATATATAAGTATTTAAATCAGTCAGTGCCTAGTAGATGCTTTGTTTGATACTGCTTTTTGTGGTTTACTTGCTTCTTACAGAGTAGCCACTCCACAACAGGTTCAGTTGGTTTTATATTGAGTTTTCTGAAACGCCTTTCACTCTTTTTCAAACTTCACCAATGGCATTTTTTTCAAAACTTTAAGACAAGTGAATTATTAGCATGTTGGGTACATTCAGGCAACCTGCCAATAAAGCTTACAGCAATACTGCTCCTTTAGGAGACCTCTGCCTTCTGTCTAATTACTTCTTGCTTGTGGCCTTTGGCTGGGATGGACTATAAATTCACCCTAACTATTGGCTATGCTAGCTAAGCAGATTTAGGCGGAAGGGAAAAAGACTAAGATTGGGAATTCCTTGTCTGCAAAGCAGGCAAATTGAGGCGAGAGCTTGTTCAGTTTGGCTACATTCCTGAAACATATTTTACCTGGTTATTTAATTAAAGGATTTTCTGTATTTGCACAGTTGAGCCATAAATTAGCCTAACAGGCTGGCTCACACAACGTCTTTGCCCAAAATAGAAAATAACTGCCCCAAAGCTTAATCAGAGTTAATACATATCAACCTAGTACCTGCTGCTCAAATTCATCAAACTCTTAATTGAAATACTTATATGTTGTTCCAAGGTGGGGAAAACAGGTTTTCATTGTAATACATGTGAGTGTATCAGTGTGTGTAGTGTACAGAATAAGCCATAGCGGCCAAGGTTTATATAGTGTTAGGCCAGTTTTATATAAAGTATAAACCTTGGTTTTACATAGAACTAAGGCAAAGAGAAGGAAACTATCTTACGTCTGTGGAGATTGTCAATCATCCACGTCATGGTTGTTCCAAAGGTGGTTTTCCAAAAGGCAACTGGACTTTCTTTGTTTTTTTTCTTTGAAAATGTTTTGCTTCTCATCCAAGTTAAACTAAAGAAGCTTCTTTGACGAGAAACAAAATGTTTTCAAAAAACAAACAAACAAGACCCAAGAAAGTCTAGTGGCTAAAAGCACCTTTGGGGAAAACCATATCATGGTTTGTATAATGTAGAGATTCAGCCAGTGGCTTTATTTTTAGATGATTGTGGAAAGCACTGCCAAACAATGCTAATGTAACCAAACAGTATCTTCCATTTTAAAGCTTCCAGAGAAGAAAAAATGGGTGTACAGTTTAAATATAAGATAAAAGTCATATTTGAAAAAAAAAAGTTAAAATAAACCCCTAGATGTGGGCAGTAGGGAAATCACTATCTTTACAGAAGAACGTCAACCTTTCCCTACCTAGTGTTTTCTAAATGTGTTAGATTTCTAGTTTTCATAACCCTGGCCAGTAAACTCAGTGGCCATTCTAACTGGGGATTATAGATTTTGAAATATACTGTTT